GTACCTGTTGGTTGTAAAGCGTATAGAGCATGCTGTAGAGCGTGAATATAATGTGCTATATTAATGAAATTATTATTATTATTATTATTATTATTATTATTATTATTATTGTTGTTATTGTTATTGTTGTTGTTGTTAGTTTAACCTCGGCAACATTTTCCACCTCACTCTCCACTCTGCCCCTGTCATTTGGGGAAGAGGAAAGTATTGCGTAGCTGCTAACTTTTCAAAACAAACAAGAAACAAACTAACCTGTTCCATACCCACGTGACAGATGGTGAGTAATGACCAAAAGGAGGGAGCTGCACAGTGGCAACCAGCAATGGCATGCTTATAAAATTGTCTTTACTGGTGTGATGATATTGCGTATATTGGTAACTTGGATAGATTTTCTTTGCATGCCTGTTTGTGTGTTTCAGCATGTGTGCATTTGGGTATTTATGAATCTAAATATGTAGCCTAGGCCCTATGTATGCAGTTGTAACCCATGTTTTTCCCTTAGGGATATATAAAGTGAAATGTATTTATTTACATATTTTTAAAGCCAGTTTCTTTCTGTTTGTTTCAGGCCGTTCAGGCGCAGGAGAGTAAACGCCGCAAGCGGCGTATTATGAAAATTGCCGTCTACTTTATGTTCGGTGTCATCTCTATCGGAGTATTCGCTATCTGGCTGTTTCACAAAGACACTGTGGAGTCTCTCCGCTTCGGCTCCAACTTCATCCTGACGGTCAAGCTGCGGTCTCTGGAGATCAAGAACAACGAGGGAGACGGCGTTCTGTACGGCGACATGGGCCGGAAGCTGCTGGCCACGCCCTACGACCACTGCTGGGACGACAAGTACGAGTCGTACGAGGCCAACTGTCTGTACTGGCGCAAAATGGCACGGCTGAGGGTGGAGAAGAACGACAACAGCTCCTCCGTCTGCTACACGCTGATGTGGGAGGGGCTACAGCCCAGCTTCTCTGTGGAAGACTGCTTCTACCTGCAGCATTATCACTGGTATGGCTACCTCAACAACATGACGTCGCCCTGGCCCATCTCGGGGGTGTCGCTGAGGAATGAGGAGTACTACGTGGAGTATCCCAAGGAGCAGACGGAGAACCTTGCCCCGATCTGGTTCGGTGAGCAAGGTGTGGCGGTGTTTGTAGACTCGAGCTTTCCATTCACGGTGTCTTGGAATGAGACGGACAAACGGCAGTTTTGCATCATGTCCACCTTGGAGCAGCGGGACGAGAACGTGCCCGCCGATCTACTACAGTACACTGTCTGTCAGAGCAGCTCTCTCAAAGACGTCTACACAGCCTCCCAGAACCACCGCCAGCAGGTGGACACGGATTTCGGCTTCAAGAGAACGCACAAAAGTTTTCTTCTTCCCAAACCTATCCACGCTTTGTCGGCCAAAGAGAACCTCCCAGAGCTTCTGCTGCAGCTACAGAGGAATGAGTCACAGTGCAGCCTCATCGAGCTCTACGACGACTGGGAGGAGGAGTTTGGAGACCTGAGCGTAGACCCAATCATGGTGGACAAAGTGGACAACCTCATCAAAACGGCAGCAGCCCATCAGTGCTATCCTATCCTGCCTATATCCACCTTTTTCAGCTACAAATCCAAGCACTTTGAGGAAGGCATCAACCGGACATTCTTTGTACAGGACCACCTGAACTTGGTGACCAAGATGGTCCAGTGGCGAGGTCAGGAGGGTGCAGTCCTGGACGTGTCCAACCCCCACGCAGCTGAGTGGTTCCTGGGTCACATCCGCCGTCTCATCGTGCAGCTGGAGGTCAGAGCGCTGAAGCTGTTCCACCTGAACGTGCCCCCCGACTCCACGTACCACGACTCCAACATGACATACCTGGACTACACCCGGATATTCTACAGAGACCTGGCCTCTCTCAACATCTCTCTCGTCCTGGAGTTGGCCACAGGTTTCATTCCCGTGCCCGTGTACACGCCGGTTCGGATGTCGTTCTACGGAGAGCCGGGGTCCTCCTGCCTCAACACCTCCATTCCTTACTCTCTGGTCCTTGGGATGAGCGGCTACTCCTTACTCATCGCTGACGCAGACCGGATGGCACTCCAGTCGACCACGGAGGAGATGTTCATTCGTTGGTTGCAGCTCGCTATTTTCTTTCCTGTTTTAGAAATCCCCAGTATTCCCTTGCTGAAGGAGAAAAAGATGCAAAAGTTCCTGCGAGAAGTTCTGACTCTGCGCGACGTTCAGCTTCTGCCTTATCTGACCCAAGTGTGGGAGGAGCAGCCCGAACTGCCCATCATCAGACCCCTGTGGTGGCTGGCGCCGCAAGATCCCCAAGCAGCTGTCATCAACGACCAGTTCCTGATCGGTGATCGCCTCCTGGTGGCTCCGGTACTGTGTGAGGGCAGCGGTCAGCGGCAAGTGTACCTCCCCCAGGGCTTGTGGAAACGACACGGGATGAAGCCTGTGCGGGGTCCGCAGACGGTGGAGGTGCTCACCAAGTCCTTCAATGTTATACCTTATTTCTGGTATCAAGAGGATGGGGAAAACTAACACCTTGCCCTTCTATGTCATCCTTTTGTTTCTGGTGTCAAGAGGATGGAGAAAACTAATACCTTGCCCTTCAATGTCATCCTTTGTTTCTGGTATCAGGAGGATGATGGGGGAAACTAAGACGTAGCACAATTAAGAGCTCTTCTTACCTCATGAAATTTACACAGCCTTGACACATATCGCAGGTGTCGCCGAAAAATGAGGAGTACTACGTTGAGTATCCCAAGGGGCAGACCGAGAATCTCACCCTGATCTGAACTTTTTCTTTTACATACGAAAACAAATTATGATGTTAACATGAGGTATTAATTTTTTTCATGGTACTCCCATTCTGTTTTGTTTGGGAAGTTGGTTCACATGGTATGAGAAATAATGAGGGTTTCTTCTTTGAGATTATAAACAACAGTAGGTGCAAATGATAAATGAAGTGCAGAATGTGCATTAAAAACCTTGTCTTTAGACTGTCATTTCTATTGATGACTGGATATGTTTCTCTAAATCTCACTGAGACAATGAAAGGACATATAATACTATATAACAACAAATGATAGTATAATTTTCCTAGTTTGGTAAGGACAAAAAGGAATATTTGATTCTCAGGGAAGATATATGTCAATAAAACTAAGTGAAAAATATGGCAAGAATTATTCTAAAATCATTTGCCAGTGGCTTTGGGGAGAGAGAGGGGGGAGGGTGATAAAGTTAAAACAAAAGTCCCACCATACCACTGCCACCGTCTGCACTGTCATTATCAGCGCCACTAAAGTTGCAGAACTACTAATATAATAAGTGTGGAGCTTTTCCCTTTACTGACATTAAATTTGATAACAGTTTGTGAACTTTGTTTTGAACAGGGTCATGTGACCTCTGCCTTGTGATATTCACGGAAGTGTTGTATGACAAACGTATGAAAGACTATGTGTGAGCGTGATGTTAGTTTAATGTCAGCTGTTACGATGTTGTTTCTGAACCCTTACATATCCCGTTAATGTGACATTTTTTTACACAGTCAAGATATTTGTTTGCATATATATATATATATATATATCAATGTCCATGATTCTACTGAACTTTCTGCCCTTGGTGTAGAGATATAATGATCACAGGGTTACCTGATCACTCTATATCTTTTATACACTTTAAACTCTTTTTACATGACAGTGTGATTGTGACGTCTGTGGCCAGAGTAAAAGTAAATGTATCTTAGAAAGTATTTTTATCTCTTTGTCTCACATTTTGGTCTTTGGTTTATTCACAGGGGTCATAGGGAATAACATGCCTTACTATTCTTCATAACTTCTTAAAGTGAGTCCCTGGTTTATTCTCGTTTGCTCTGTAATGGGTGAGATTAAGCTTCAATATTAAAATGTATTTTTGTGGCATTGTGGTAGAATCAGGCGCTCATCAAAATAATGAAATTGAAGAGACCAATATTCTTCTGCCCGTTGAGCAAATTTACCAAATTTTATTTTTTTGTCTCAACTTTTTTTATGTCCATTCAAAAACACATTTCTGTGTGGACTTTACTGAAAAACGCTGCTCAAAGGCACAAAAGGAATGTGTCCCAAGGCTCTCAAATTTGAAAGTCACCAAAATTTGGCAGCCATTTTCTTGCTAATTTTTTCTCTGACACAGGCAACAAAACCCTCTTCAATTGCAGATATCTCTACCTGTGTGAAAGATAAATAAGTATTTTTTCCATGAAAAGCAAAACAAATAAACAAGCTTTAAGATGAAATCAGTAACTCCATATGCCCCAAAATTTATGAACACCTGATTCCATCTCTTCATGACACATTTCGCTACCTCAGAATTACAAAGTTCTATCTGACATTTTTGACAGTTTTGAGTTACTATATCCATGAAGTCGGGAACCAAATGTTCTATCTGCTTTATCAAAATCGTAAGATTATCCGAAGTCATTATCAAGATTTTTAAAAATTGCATTTGAAAAGGCTTGACATGTTGTGAAGCTCCTAATTTTTTACGTCAAGTTTCTCAAAACTAGGTACTGAGCAGATAGAACTTTGTAATTCTGAGGTAGCTTTTTACTACAGTACAGATGAATCAGATTCTTTTATCAGGTGAATTCTTCCAAAGATCATATGATTTGTTCTTGAAGTCTGATGAGACAAAGAAATTTTGATTTCTCACAAATTTATTAATGAAATTTTTTATTCTGGCTGGGTCAGTAAAAACTTCACTTTTGATATTATGAACTTGTTACATGATTTTTTTTTAAAGGTGCTGCCTTATTTCCAGTCAGCTCTGAGTTATGACTCATGATATCTGAGATTTGAGGATAAAAGAAACAGTCAAGACAGCTGCAGTTTTTTACTGGGATGCTGCATGCCTCTCAGCCCAGGTTGGCACTCACAAGTAGGGTTAAAGCCTGCCTTCCAAATGATCTAAATTGTGTCAATAGAGGAGTAAAAGTACCTGCTTTTTAAAAATGTTTTTTTCGGAAACAGATGCTCTTCACTGCCTGAAAAAATAGGAAACATTGCATTTTACATCATCATCATCATCAAAAGCGCCTGTAATGTAGGGTAAGCTTTTTGCCTTGCACTCAAAGACAATTACTGTTGGTTTCTTGAAAAGATATTTCATCAGTCATGTATGTCATTCATGTAATCCAGGTTGGCCCTAGTGGTACCTCACCAATCATTAGCTAAGCGTTTAAATTGGTGCTCAATACTTTCAAGTTGCTTTGACTATCAACTCTTGTTTTTCAGCAGTGCTGCAGGCCAAAAACAGGTTTAGGAAGCACGCACAACCCCCTCTTCTTTGATCCTGTGCCACTGATTTTGTCTCTAGTTTTGATTAAAGATGTTTACTTTTACTTGACTTTCTCACTCAATTTACTCAGCAATGTACGTTTTTTTTTAGAAAGAAATTTTTCGGGCGTTCTTCTGCTATTGGTTGATTTTGCTCCCTCCTGAATAGGCTATACTTTTTCTTCTGTGTTATTCATTCATGCACTCGACTGACTTGTTGATTTGTTTAAAATCACAATTTCAACCTTTTTTATCTCTTGCTCTATTGTGATCATTGTTTGATTTTTTTTTTAAATATACAAACAGTAATGGATGTACATTTTATATCTTCATTTCTTTTCTGTTTAATATCTTTGTCTTGCACCTGATAATGGTTGTGTTGTCTCACAGAATGATTTTGAGTTGTTTTGGTAGCAACATATAACACTAAAGCACGTACATTCATGCCAGATAGTGACTTTTTGCAAGTCTGTCCAAGAGTTAAAAAGGGCACTTATTAAAAACCAAATACTAAAACGTAACTTGGATAGGAATGAATTGAACTTGTTCCTCATGGCTTTCAGGAAGATAATGCGTTTAATTTGCAATGTAATTAAATTAATTAGATAAGGACATTTGAATATAGTTCATTGTTGAACTTTTTAAAAAGATCTTTGCATGCGTAGGGTTTTTTTTCTTTACTCTTTCTGCGTTAAGGTGTTTTTTTGTCCAGCACTTTTTGTAATGTCATAAATTTATGTCATGAGAAAATTTCGTATTGCATACGTCATAATTATTAAAGGTGTGCTACTGATTGATTGATAAAGGTTGTAAATACAGTGTTGCCTTTAATTTCTGATTCTTCCAGTTCCGTGTCAACAGAGAATGAGATGAGTGTCATGTGAATGATGTCTGAGACTCTTGAAGGGTTACGTGAAGCAATAGTTGTACAGTTGAAACTGTCGAAGACGGCCACCCATAGTCGAGGAGAAAAATAGCCGTCTAAGACAGCTGTCATTGTAATGTAAAAGATACACAAGGGAGGAAAGGAAAAGTGGCCATTCTACTGGTGATTTTCTTATACAGGTGGCCATTGAAGCAGGTTTGACTGTATTTATTTCATTGCTGGTTGATTTTGTTTGTGTCATTGCGAAGGCTGTGTGTAACCCTGGTTATTCTTTGCCATATCGACAGACCGAAGGGCTAGAACCCAAATGGCCGCTGGATCGGAAAAGTAAAGTAAAGTAAAGTAAATGTAACCCTGTTTTGAATCTTCTGTGGGTCATTCTTGCCTTGAGTCATTTTGAAAAATTTTCGTAGCTCTTGACAGACGTGGCTTCTTTGTCTTAAGGATGATGTTAAATTGAAAGTCCTGCCTCTTTGACAGTTTTTTTTTTTTGTCTGATGTCATTGTATTATTGAATTCCAAGCTCTCAAACACTGGTGAGCAAAGGACAAAGAAACAAAGTAAAGATGCACGTACTTTGTTTTTGTAGCAATATTTATTCAGTTCAGTGTAGATGCACCGGAGCAACCTTTTATTCTTTACACTTGTAGATAGCAAAAATTCAAAAACGTCCAGACAGAAATGGGCACTGTCGTCTGTTGTAGCAGGTATTGTGTTTATCATCTTGACACTGAGGACAATATTTTTCTGTGAGAAAATCTGACATTGTACCTATGGTTGGTCGTGGACATTTTTTACTGGAAGCCCTGGAAGAAGCAAAAGCAATATCCTCCTGTTTAGGAGGAAGAAAATTGTTTTTCTTTTCTATTGTTGATAATTTTTTTTATTACCTTAAAAAAAATTTATAATTACCATGATATTGGAATAAGGGAGTGTATTTTTCTCTGACATTTTTCAAGAGTGTCAAAAATCAAGTGGTACTAATACTTTAGTGTACTTGAACTATATGAAGTTTATTTGAACGAGACTTTCCGATGCATAACATTTTTTTTTTTTACAAAGATAATATACTCAAATAAGAAAAAATATCCAATGCTTATTTTTGTTTGTGCTTTCAGCGGAGCAGTTTCTTTTCATTTGTGTTACGTTGATCAATGACTCGTATCTTCGGTTGGGTTTCTTTTTCAATTGTTGAGTACTGTACCCCTGTTTCACAGGTTTCGTCATGATGTTGCTGTGTGTTTTTTTTGGTAATTTGTATTGTTCATCAGTAAATTTTATTGTTATGGTAGATATTTTTGTCCATACTCAAGTCACCATTTCAGACAATGGAGAAAGATGTTATGTTCTACATTTAGTTATAAAGTAAAATTATCTTCCCGTAGTCTGGCTTGCAATAATTATTATGATTAACAAACTTTAAGTATGTTTTCTTACTTTCCAATGTTGACTTTTTTTATAAGTAGTCATTGATGTTTGCAAAAAAATGCATTTCTTAAGATAATGTGAAGTGTAGAGAGTCAGTGATTTGAGTTTTGAGCATGTGAAATGCTTACACATCAGGAGTTCATTCTTGTTCTTTCACCGGTTGACTGTCAGCTCTTCAGAATATCCCTTTCTTTAAAGCTAGCAGTGTGGGTTTGTTTTGGGGGATTTTTTTTTACATTTTGGTTGATACCAAAGATGTTAAGTTGAATGTGAGTGAACTTTTTATTTTATCTCAGATAATGTTGGTTGTTTTGAATAGTGCTGATCACATTGAAGTGGATCTGTGAACTTGTTCCTGCCTTGAGTGAGATGATTGTGGACTTGATTCCCCCTAATTGTTTCTTCACTATTTGTCTTGTTCTTTTGTTCTTGTCTACCGTCTGGAGATATCTCAGAACCCCCCTTTCTTTGCTGTTTGTAAAGCCCATAGAGCTTGCAGCTGAGCAGGAATTTGCGCTATACAAATGCTGTCTATCTCTCTATCTGTTTGATTCCAGTTATATATTTATTGACTCTTTGAGCAATGATTAGGCTACA